TGTTTTCTACCTGCTACTGCTCTTCCTGTACAGCATGATTATGTCATTTCTGCTTCTACCTGCTACTGTACTGTATAGCATGTCATATTACTCATGTTTTCCACCTGCTACTGTACTGTATAGCATGTCATATTACTCATGTTTTCCACCTGCTACTGTACTGTATAGCATGTCATATTACTCATGTTTTCCACCTGCTACTGTACTGCATAGCATGTCATATTACTCATGTTTTCCACCTGCTACAGTTCTTCCTGTATAGCATGTTATATTGCTCATGTTTTTTGCCTACTACTGTTCGACATGTATCCTACTGTTTGCCCTGTACTGCACATTTTATATCATATAGCTTTAAGCATGTCTCCTTTTATATAAGATGTTTAGAGGACTACAACCATAGGGCCGTTTGATTTGACACTATAACTGGACACCCTAGAAAACTTAAACTCATCATGTCGGTGAGCTTGGAGCCAGCGCGGTGGGCAGCACGGCCATCTTCAATAGCAGAACATGTCTTTCCCAGCAAAACCATCCATTTTCCTAGAAATTAAACAACAATCCATAAAACTTTGAGGTTGTTTGCCTAGCGCAACATAAATCCTCCACCTTTTCTTTAGGCATTCGTATAGCTCTGCTGTACGATTTAAGCCCCAACTCGTTCTAGGTTCTGAGGTTGTCGTTCGATATGACGTAAACCCTCATATCTTCCAGGTGATTTGCGTGGCCATGTCACGCAAATATAATCCCTAATTAAGTAAAATAAGCAGGATGAAACACTTTAATAGTTTCTTCTCAAAACTGGAGTCAAATCATAGGATAGACTGGGAAGTCACTGAGGTTCTCCTCTGGATCTGTGGCCTCCCCTAGTTTCTCTTCATTTGGATTCCTCAACATTGTTCCAGGTTCGAGCATTTCCCCTTTCACACCTCTTCGTCCGATTTCGTTGAAAAGTCATATCCTTTTGACTTCTTTGAGGATAGTATTCCCTGATTTTTATCGAGAGTTTTCTTATGTGACATAGGTCATTTAAGATATAATTAACTATAGGGGTTTGCCCTTATAGGAAGCTTTTCCGAACCCAGCTTAAAATAAACCCTATTTAATTATTTGTATTAAATAGGGGAACTTGTCGGCAAATAAAATGGTTTTCGCAGACCAAACGGACGTCATATATTTCTTAGTTTATTTGATCGAGTCTCATCATCAAGTCTTGTGTTTATCTCTCGGGATAGATACAGTATTTGAGATAGAACGCTTTCATTTAATGTGAAAAAAATATAAAGTCAGTTTGATTTCATATTTTTCTAAAATTATAGTATATATGTGTAACACTATTTATTCATCCTTACGTGACTCTCATTAATTATTCCTTAATCATAGCAATAGAAACGCATAAGTTCTAGCACATATAAATATGCACCTTTTCTACAATATGAAGCAATGGGAATAATATTCAAAATCTTCTCTTCTATTCCTTCTCTTAATTTTTCACCCTATCCATGAAATAAAAAATAAAAGAAACTCCATAAATTATTTCATAGTTGATTTTATAGACAAAGAAGATTGTATGCAAAACAATTATTCACAAAAACCTTTCAAATTAGGCTTACATGGAAAAGAAAAAGATAAAATTAGAATTGCATTATGTAATATAACAAAAGGGGAAAATAAAACTATTATAAGAGATAAAAAAGAAGAAAAAATGAAACTCAAAAAACCATAGTCAATGCATTCCATCTCAATCTGTTGGTTGAGAGCTTAGATTTTCAACCAAGAGGTCTTGAAGTCAAGATTTTGCAGATGAGATGTACACTTATTTGCAATGATACCATGTAACATTTAAAATTTACTGAAGTTACGAGTCTTCTACTCACACTTATGGCTTCTTGGTTTACATGGAGGAGTGGGAAGCAGGAACTTGGAGGGGGTGGGATACTTAATTGTTTTGTTCGTAGTGAAAAGAAACGTCCTCCCAAACAAATGTCTTTTATCTTCGGCTCATGTGCATTGAAAACAGTCATAAAACATGACGATCTTACTAAATTGGAAATATGGTACCACCCATAACAAAAATCACATTTGTTCTACATACGAATAATAAATATAATTTAAGATAAAATATATTATAATATATATATATACATATATATATATATATATACATACATTATATACACAACAGAAATAAATAACGCATAATTTTATAATCAAACCAAGATAAGAAATATAAATAGGTGATATGTAATGTATTAAATGATATATTACTAATGTGTCTGTGTGTGAAAAATTATAATTTTATACATATCCATATGCATAATATTCACAATCAATCAATCTTTTTAGTGACCTCAACTTCCAATTCCAGAAGGAGAGTGTCACTCCTCTCACTTGAGAACAACCAAGAGGACCATTGGACTTTGGCATAGCTTTTGTCTGCCTAATAATGCTTCAAAAATAAAAGTAACTTTAAGAGGTTTGTAAAAATAGCCGTCTGAAGAATAATTCAAAAGTGTAAAAGCTAAAAAAGTAGCTTTTCATAACAACCTTCAATTATCTTCCCAAACATGTTTTTATAAAATTTAAATTTATCCTATAATAGCTATTTAGTCGATTTTACGAATGGTTATTTACTTTACTATACAGTACAAGATAACAATGACAAAGGGGCCGTTTAAGTCAGGAAAAAAAGATGGATATGCTTCAACTGGAAGGTAAAAATGTAAAATTTTATAAAGCAACTCACCTGACATACTACCTCCAATATTCAAAAAACATGCAGCACCATTTTTTAGGTAATGTGGCAGTTTGGTGAAAGGAATTCCTTTCAATTTGGACAGAAAAGGAAGAAGAAGAAACACAAAAAGAGCCTGCACATTTGAGGAATGGTTATGAGTCAGTTATTAGGAAACCTAAAATACATTTTTTACCACTTAATTCCTCTGTATTTACACATCTAAAACCTAAAATACATTTTTTACAAATATGTCACCTTCCCTATACATGAAAATGTGTATTTCAATTTTTAAAAGTTAAAATAGTGGCATTTTATGTCATATAAAAGATTTGGATGGTATAAATGTAAAAAAGTAAACTTTAAGTGTTAGAATGTAGATAAATAAGAATTGGGTGGTATGTATGTAAACGCCCCAAATTTTAAAGCACATAGAATTGGAAAGAAAAAATTTGCCATACAAATCCATGTGAGGTACATGTCAAAAACATGGACATATGACATATGACAGGAAACTATATGAAACAGTTGTGAAATGTTTGCTACAGAACTTTTTGGTCGCCATTGAAACATTGATAGGATAAATTTGGAATACACCCCAACCCCATGCCCCTTTAACTTGGCTATGTTAAAAATTTAACCTATTACTATCCCAACAATTCTCCAGCCTTATCAAAGTGTAGCCTCTTTAAACCATTATTTATTTATTTCTCCAAGATTTGGGAAATTGGAATAATCAATATTTTCTATCTAATGTTCACGTGAGAGTAATTTAATGGTTGGTTCATAGGGTTAAAATTCAGACAAACATACTACCGTCCACTTGGTTTGTCTAGGGGTGCAAATGAGCTGAGCAGGCTGGAGTTCGGCTTCTTAACAAGCTCACGAGCTGAGCTTATTTAGCCACGATGATCTCAAGTTCATTCTGGCCCAGTTCGTTGGCTCACTAGTCAGCTTGATTTGCCCCTAGCTAGTCATTTCGATGCATTTTCCGGTGAGTTGTCGTTGCATTCTCCTCCTTCTTCTGCCACCAATATATTTTCTGGCGAGCTCTCATAAAAATTGAATTTTTAGTCCGAGCTTGTTTGCAGACTGCTGCCACTATGAGCTGAGCTCGAGCTCTACTCGAGCTCCAGCACACAATTTAACAGACAAGCCAAGTTCGAGCCCGATTCGACTTGTTTACATCCTTAATCTTATCTTTAACCGCCACAGTAGCCTTTGGAGGTTAGAGGTTCAAATCCCTCCAAAATAGAAAGGGGCATTTACATAAATACCACCCAATTCCTATGTATTTACATATTTAACACAAAAAACTTCTGCTTTTATATTTATAACCACCCAAATCTTTCATATCATATAAAAAATAACACTATTTTAACTTTAAAAAAATGAAATACACCTTTCCATGCATAGTTAAGGTGTTATATATGTAAAAAATCAAATTTTAATATGGTGTTGAATATGTAAATACATAGGAATTGAGGGGTATGTATGCAAATCTTCCAAATAGAAGAAGATATCAATCTTCTCTAGTTAAACACAACTACAACATGAGGGAGGCTATTTTCTCAGGGAAAAGCGTGCCAATAATCTCAAATAAAACATACCAATAAGCATCAGATCACCTGGAATGCAGACCCGAATGAATTAACTACAAATATATCAAGAGACTTTCCCTGTAAAAAAAATTTTAAAGAGTTAAAGGAACATGTGATAGCAGTGCAGATAAGGGAAATTTACATATGTAGAACATAATTCTTATGTATTTACATGTCTCACAACTAAACTTTCATATTTACATACATAGCACTAGTTGTTTTAAATTTATGCATAAAAAAGTGCATTTCAGTTTTAAGAAAATGGGAATGGGTTGTTTTAAATTTATGCATTAAAAAGTGCATTTCAGTTTTAAGAAAATGGGAATGGTGTTATTTTTAATGTGATATTAAAGATTTGAGTACTATGTGTGTAAATATGAAATTTAGATGTTGTAACATGTAAATACATAAGAATTGTGTGCTATGTATGTAAATGCCCCTAAAAAAAGGTTCTTTAATAATACCTCAAGGCGCTTTGCACCATCAATGAAGACAAATTCCTGCAACACAAAATTTTAATTGAGTTTCTGAGATCCTTTATGCCGAAATATAAACAGCCAGTGGTATATTAAACCTTGAGAATGGATGCACCAGCTTGAAATGCAGAAGAAGCAACCATTAGAGCTGGCCATAACAAATCTATTCCAGACAACAATTGGTCATCCAAGGACCCACTGCAGCAATCATTAAAAAAATGGATCATTTACATACATAGCACACAATTCTTATTTATTTAAATATCTCACACTTAAACTTTCATATTTACACACATGACACTCAAATCTTTAATATCACATTAAAAAAAGCACTATTATCTTTTTTTTTTAAAGTGAAATACACATTTTAATGCATGGGTTTAAAGCACCAAAGTGTTATGCAAGTAAATACGAAAGTTTAGGCATGACATATGCAAATACATAAGAATTGTGCGCAACGTATGCAAATTTCCCCGATAAAATAAACCAGGAATATGAATCTCTAGCAACTTAAGGGGCAAAAAAACGGTGTCGGTTATAAGGCAGATGAAAAATGGTTAAACCTCTAAATTAACTTGAGTTCTAGGTACTGCAATATGAAAAAAAATAATGTGAAATCATAACGATTTGTATAAAATTTTTATTGCATGATTATAATACGATCCGGAACCAAAAATAATGAATAAATTATAATAGAGTTGTGGGGGAACTCAAATAAGAACTGATTTTCTAATACCAATAAAAGCAAACAAAATACAATGTCGATCTACTATTCGAGATGTAGATCTTCTCAACAAATCGTAGACACCGCTAGAAACACCGAGAGAAAAGAAAAATTGTAGCAAATCAAAACATAAAACAAACCCTAGCCAATTAGCCCTTATAAATACCCTTCAAAAGCCCTTCAAACTTTCCCCCCAAAACTCCCTTTAAATCCCCTCCTGTACGTGATTAGCGTCTGTGTGGGCCCCACTCGAACGTTGAAATCGTTCGAAGCCCCTCCTAGGGTTTTCTCCCTTGTCGGCTAGGCAGGTTGGTCTGGCCGTTTCTCCTTGGACCATTGGCTCATCAGGGGGGAGGGAGTTGACTTCCTGTCGGTTCTCGCGTCTGTAGAAGCATGCATATCGGACTAATGGAGATACAGTGCATCAAGCAATATCTTTACTAGGTCATTTAGATAACTTTTTTCCCATGAATGATTAAAATGAAAATTATTTTGGTAAGCACATCAAGATGCTTCATAAAAAAAATGGAAAACAAATCTCTTTGTTAAACTATTTAGTGTATTAGTGTTCAACGCCGCTTAAACCCTAGCAAGCTTAGCATCCTACGAATATAAATTAGTAAAGGTAAAATAAAACATAACATTGATTACACATAATTCTAAAGTAAATGGTGCAATATATTTTTCCAGTTGCACGTTCTTGGGTCCTAAAACATACTTCAGAATTTGATGAGAACATTATGGATCCTTCATAAAACTAATGGTTAATGCGGGCTCCTAAACCCCTAATGATGATCGTTAAAGATTAATTTCCGAAGACATCATGCTAAATAACATTTAAAAATAATGGCATAAAAAAAAGACATCATGCTTAATAACATTTAAAATTTCAAACAAGACACAAAGAAGTAACTAATAAAGTTGTAGTAGCAATTGATAATTTATTGTTATTTAAAAAAGATGAAATCGGGCCTACTGAAACCGATTTCATTGTTATCAATTTTTTTAATATGTATATTAGGATAAATAAAATTATGAAGTAAATGTATAAAAATTTAGATGTACATAATAAACTTGGGCCTACTCAACTCATAATACATATTTAGATGTAAATAAATATGTATATAAACTTCTATTAGAAAATTTACATATATGACATATAACTGTTACGTATTAAATTTTACGATTTGATATTTACATTTATTACATAATTGATTTTTACACAAGCATGTCGGTCAACTTTTTCTTCGATTAGATTTATTTGAAAAATAGGATATATGAAAAAATAGGTTGTCTTTTGTATTACGATAAAATTAGTTTAAAATTTTAAATATAGAATTATTTATTTGTTGAATATTTAAAAATATTTATGAGTGCATTCATACTATTAATTGTACATGTTTAAATAGTTCTTTATTTGTAAAAATATTTGGTTTATTTTTGCATTTAAATAAATAAGATAATTGCACTAATTAATAATAAAAATTATGAGGTAATGATTCAAATAAAAAAATAAGGAGAATCTACATATCATTTTTATTGAATTAGAAAAAGCTCACGATAAGGTTCCAAGAGATATCCTTTGGAGAGTTCTTGAGAAGAAAGGTGTTGATATGACTTATATTCAAGTCATTAAAGATATGTATACAAGAGTTGTTATCTGTGTTCGAACAGACGGAGGATTGTCCAAATATTTTCCTATTTATGTTGGTTTAAATTAGGGATCAGCTTTAAGCCATATCTTTGTGCTTTAGTAATGGATGGTCTCACTGGACACTTATAGGAGGATGTACCTTGGTGTATGTTTTTTGTTGATGATATCCTTCTCGTGGATAAGACGAGAGAAAAAGCTCAGGAAAAAACTATGGAGGTTACCTTGGAGTCTAAAGGCCTTCGTTTGAGTGGAACTAAAACTGAATATATGGAATGTAATTTTAGTAGTAGTAGCTCTAATGACAAAAATGTAACTATGGGTGATTGAATTATTAAAAGGTGTGAATACTTTAGTTATCTCAGGTCTATTATTCAAAGTGATGGTGTAATTTATTGGGATGTTATTAGTAGAATTCAAGTTGGTTGGTTTAAGTGGAGGAATGCTTCAGGCCTATTGTGTGAAGGCCTAGGCCTATTGTGTGATAGAAAAGTACCGCTTAGGCTGAAAGGAAAATTTTATAAGACGGTGATGATAACTGCAATGCTCTATGGCGCTGAATGTTGGCTATTAAAAGAGAAGCATAAAACTAAGTTAAGTGTTGTCGAGATGAGAATGATTAGGTGGATGAGTGGCTTTACACTTAGAGACAAGATGCGAAATGAATATATCTGTGATAGAGTTGGTGTAGCTCCTGTGAAAGACAAAATTAGAGAGTCGTCTTAGATGGTTTGGTCACATTAAATGTCGACCATTTGATGATCCGATTAGAAGAGTAGATGTTTTAGATTCGACTTATGTTAAGAAAGGCAGAGGTAGACCTAGGAATACTTGGGCATATTATATAAAAATTGATCTTAATTTATTAGACTTAAATGAAAATATGACACTAAATAGGACGCAATGGAGAAAAAGGATTCATGTAGCCGACCCCACTTAGTGGTATAAAGGTTTTGTTGTTGTTGTTGTTGTATTATTGTTCTATAACTTTCTCAACCCCATTCTTGATCCTTATACATCATCTAAGAACCATACATCATTGTCAGAAAATAAACAGTCGGTTCACCTCAATGCATCATACTCCCTCCCATATTTGTGCATTCACTCTTGCAACCAAGGCCTTCTCCTGTTTTATGGGCGGGTGATGAATCCAAGTAATGAACTGTAAAGCCACTTCTAACCATCTCCATGCACTCAAAGAAGTTGTTAATGCATGCACATGAACAGATAAAGACAAACCCATGAGAGTTTTTTTAGGTCATGAATAAGCTAATATGAGGCGTGATTGATGTCTTTCGACCAACCCCATCACGTGTCAAACCCAACTCCAACAAGCTCCTTGTTGATGTGATTTGTAGGGTGCTTTTAACAGGGAAGGTGAATCATACAGGCAAAGTCTTAAAAGGTAACTTTTTTTTCCTTTCATGTCAATGGAAGAATTTGAGAGGAGGAGAAGACCTCAATCACAGCAGGAAGTTAGCTGCAGAAGGAACTCGTTAGAGAATTAATGGCACACAGAGGCTGAAACATTGTCCTGAGAGCCTATGATTGCTCTTCTTGTGTCACTCATACTTCAATGGGCCGAGGATATATTTATAAGTGATGGTAGAAGTGTTTGGGAGTCTATGAGAATCACAATTGCGGCTAAAGTGGTTTACATGGCTTGATGGTTGCGAAAGGAGATGGAAGGGGTTAGGGGTTCACCGAAAAAGCAATATAGGCGAATTTTGTGGGAGTCTGTAACTTTGTAACAAAGAAGATATGCAATGGTGAATTTATTATTTGCTTTTTTTTTATTTCTAATTTTGAAAAAAAGTTCTTAAACTATAGTAATGTCCATAAATTTTTTAAACAAAAAACTTTAATTACAATAAGTTCGCTCTCAAAATAACATATTGTGTTAGCCTCATTGCTATATTAATCAGCGCATATCATTGTAGTTAGAACCTATTCAATATATACTATATTAATATCAGATGGATTCCCCTAATTGATTTGTAATTATATGTATATCTTTCAAGTTCGTTTGAACTTCAAAACAATTGACTCTGCAATATATAAATCGAGACAACTGCATTTTGTCATTCCAAACTTAAATAAACCTAACTATTCACTAGTTCGGGACTCGAATGTTTTTATTGATTAAGAACAAGCACCTACCTAGGAGTTTGATGGCCTATCTATTTGAAACTACGTAGCAGGATTTGAACCATATATTCTCTCGAGATTGATCATGTCCTTCGTGAAATAACAATCTCAAACTGGTTAATAAGGAGCATAATATATTTTATATGGTTATCAGGCCATTGAACATGTTAAACTTGGTACAAAAAAAGACAAAGGAAAAGATGGTCAAATATAATTTTTATATTGTTCAATAGTCTAATATCTAATTCTTAAAAAAATTGAAGGTCTTTTGCAAATTTCATAGGTTCATACAAGTGCTATAATGACTATCATTAATCAAGGATGTAGCACCTACAAAGTTCCATGTGGCACTGACATGCAGCAAGTTGTTCATCTAAACAAGGGAAATACATAGTACATTTAATAGGATCATACTAGGACCATTTTCTATAGAGGCAAATCGAAATGCATAGCACATATAGTGGAATGTATGAAATTTCAGTTCTCAAATGGATCATGTTAGAAATTAAAAGTACAATTCATTTGAAACAAGCATCTCTCGAATTGGTGAGTTCAAACTGAATGTACGATATGTTTCATGGAATATAAAATGCATTATGCATGTTTTCATGTTACAATATCATTTTTCTTAGGGATTGAATCTTTTTTTTTGTCTTGTCAAGGGGGGGAGGAGCTAAAGAAACTTTTCATTATGTTAAACTCAATCACACCACTGTTTGTGGCATTTCAATGGACGAGTTAAAGTTTTAACAACATCGATCATTTATACTAGGTTATTCAACCATAATAGTTTATAGCCTAGTTGGTGAAACCTCCACATTTCAAAATCATAAATAATCAAGAACACTTTTGCATAGCACTTGGAGAACTATGCCTCCAAAATTGCTAACAATTTTAGTAGAGCTTTGACGACACCCTTAAAGGGCATTAGGAAATGTGTATTGGCTCCTTACGTTGGCACTAGGGAAGGAAAACACATGTATTACGATAAGAGTATCAAGTAAGAAATAAAGAACAGTTTATGAGCAATTGGACATAGGTGACCTTATCAAACAATATTCAATGGCACCGAGACAATGACAGAACAAGCGAAGGCAGTAAGGACACTTACATCTTAGATCAGCTACAAAATTTCAGCAAGGTTTCATCAACACGGTTTTCTCGCTCCCTTAATTTGTGCTCGCCCTAAGGAAATGCTTTCATGGATCATGGGGGCTCCCCTACCTCTTTCAATATAAAACAAAATTAGATGGCTCCCCTCAAAAAGGGCCATTACCCAAGATTCTTAAAATATTAATTATTTTGTTCTTTTTTCTCATTTTTCTCTTCTTTTTTTTCTTTTCTTCTTCTGCATTTGCTATTAAAAAAATGTAGCCCACGATAGCAAATCTTCAGCGGATAATATAAAGTTTAGTAATCAGCGTTCACAACACTCAAACATTTGTAAGCCTAAAGTGTGACCAAAATGGATTAAATTCTTCATAGTCAATATCTGAAGTATGCTAACAAAATAGCAAATTTTAATCAATGATTAGACAAAAAACAATATTAGAACTTCTAAAATAGTAAACAGTATGAATGACAAAATGAATTTATTGTGTCTAGGGGAGTACAAAATGCTTGATGTTCATGAGTAAAGCGAACAAGCTGAGCCTGAACAAGCTTTTTAGCTTGTTTATTTAATGACACAAACATAAAGAAGAGTTCATTCAATTATGTTCAGATCACTAAGACCTTGATATAAAAATATTAAATATATAAATATATACTTGTATATATGCATATAAAGCTAAACTTATTCCTGCAATCTATTATTAAAATCAATCAAATATGTTTCAAAAATGTAAAACATGCATGCTGAACTTTATCAATCTTAAAAGGATAGGAATGAATGAAAATCAAAAACTTTATTTCATACAAACAGAGTCCATGATATATTTGAAGGTCTTCAAATAAGTTGTTTTTGTTTAGCTCAACAACATATAAAGTTGAATAAGAATAAGATTTTTCAACTTATTCACTCTATTGTGTTCAGCTCGCTAGCTCATGAGCCAAACATGAAAATAACTCTTTAAAAAAAAAAATTCATTCATTCATATGCAGATCGATTACACTCCTAATTGTGGCATTATATTGGAACACTTTCTAATCAAATTCACAATGAAGCATAAAAAAACTTCTACAAAATTAATTTGAGAGAACTAGAAATCAATCAAAGCAACGAGTGTTACCATTGAAATAAAATAAATAAATCAAACCTTGCTACAGCTAAGATCACTCCTGCTGTTACAACCAAGCATCCAAGGATTTGGTTTGATGAGTACCTTCTTCCCAATATCAATACAGAAAAGACAAGCTGCCATACCAGGAAAGTCTGCAAAAAACCAAAAGAAAACCCACGCAGGTTGATTGATTTATATATGATGCAAACTTCAAAAGCTGAATGGACGTTTCACCCATGCAGAAGGGTGGATCTCTACCAAGGATTCACTTTATTTTTAAATAAATGACAAATGAAGTACATTGTACACCCACTATAGTGGCTACAAGATTCGAACCAGAAAAGTTATGGGGTCCGGTCTAGTGTTAAGCCTGTAACTGATTAATTCAGGTTAATCAAGTTAGAATGGACTGGGAAAACAGCAAAAAGGAAACTTTTCGCCATATTATTTTTTACAAAAATTTACATACATAGCACACTATTCTTATGCATTTACACATCGATCCCAAAAGTTTAATATTTACACATCAACACCTTGGCAACATAAAACTGTGCATGAAAATGTGTATTTCATTTTTAAAAAGTAACGATGGTGATATTTTTTATGTGATATTAAAGATTTGAGTGGTATGCATATAAATATGAATATTCAGGAGATTGATATGTAAATACATAAGAACAATGTAGGATATATGTAAATGCCCTTATTTTTTATTACAAATAACATTAAATAAGCATCACCTGAGATAATATCGGTATGGCAGGTCCCGGAAGCATAGCTGTGCACAAGAAAGCGAAAGGTAATGAAAAGGCATCATAGAGCTACTAAAATTTAAAAAACCTGCATTCTTTTGCCAATATCCCTTAAATATAAGATGATCAAAGAAAATTTGGAGAGCAAAACAAAAATCAACAATATTCATTCTTCAGGCGCTTATCAAATCACTTTAACAGCTAATTCTATGAATAGAAAGAAGAATATTAATTTCCACTTTAGAATTAGAATAAAAACAAAACTAACACATCTAACTTAAGCACTATTATATAAATTTTCCAATTTACCTCCCGCGGACATCCCACAAGCAACACCAAGGGCCTCTAGCAGACCGATAATGATAAATCTAAATTTTGGAATCGCCAACATTTCTCTGGTAACAATTCCAAAGATGCATCTAACATGAAGAATAGAGAAATATACTGCCACATACCTGCATTTAGAAACTGTTTGCTTTACACAATAAAAGACAAAATGAGTAAGACATGGATCGACAAATATGTTACGATAAAGAATAAAGTGGAAACTAATAAGCATGCATTTTATGTATCATAAACATCTAGAATAAAAAAAAATAATTAAAGAATTATGATATCAATGTAGTGGACACTCAAATTCACACATATATATTTGTATGGACAAATATGCATGTGTGGTGCATAAAATTTATACAAGTTATATATGGCTTCCAAACAGGCTTTATGTTTACAAAAAGCTCATGTTCAGCTACATACATAAGAGAATCAAACACAAATCAAAAAGTTTTGCTCATAACAACAACGGAGTTCAATTGAGTTCTGCTTGTATACACCAGTACCACTAAGCAAACAGCAGTGCAAAAATATGTCAAATTGCCCCTAAGATCCATGCTAGACTATCATGCCCCTATGGAAAGCATAAAGCCTTAAGGAGACCTTTGGCCTTGATCTTAGTATCGTTGGAGATTCAGATCATATGTCTGGATCTACATCGATAGAGTTGAGATCCATGTTTGTAGGGGTGTCAAATCGGATTTGAAAGTCAAGTTCGGGTCTGACACAAAATTGAATTGACCCGAAATTGCTTTACTCAAACCTGACATGAATATGGTCACAACCCGTATAACCCATTTAACATAAATCATAATAGCTATTCGGGCAAATTCAAGTCAATCTCAGATCGGGTTGGCTGGTCAACCCAACCCGACCAGAAAAATTAAATGGGTTAAAAATCCTAAATCAAACCTGACCCCAAAAATATTCGAGTCAATCTGAACCCAAATTTTTTGATCTAGTTCGGGTAGAGTTGATGTGTCGGGACATTTTTTTTGACACCCCTACATGTTTGACTCGACAAATATAATGAAAGTATCTTCATGAACCTTGCATAATTTTATAGTGTATACGTCATAAGGACCATTATCCATCGTCCATTATTGCGTAAGGACCAAGAAAGATTAATCTCGAGATTCTTGATTAGAAGTCTTATATTATTTTTTAGCATCACATTAATTTCCCCTTGTTTTTGTACCATATATCCAGCTCAAATTAATCATTATACATTTACTCCATCATTTGTCATATAGACCAATACCGGAGAGTAGAACCTGCCTAGCAAGACAACTCAACCTTATTTTGGGTGCGTTTGGGGCGGCGATGCAGTGGTGATATGGTGCCGCACCACCGTCTTTTTTCTATTTAACAAAATTGTGTTTTGTCTAAACTGCAGCTGAAAGCTATTTTTTGCAACCGGACATGACTAAATGCGGTGAATGTTAGAAAGTTTAGGACTGATTTTTTGGGAAAAAAATGTGTAATAACCACCACAGCTTTTTAAACAACATTTTTTTCTGTAGTTATTTCACAGTTATTTCTTCAAACAGCTACAGTTACCACAGCAATTACCCCAAACAAAACTTTAGGCGCAAACAATGAATCGCAGGTCAAAATGTAACAACTATTATCAAATTGGGTTGCCCACAACACAAGTTACCCTGACAAAGCCTTTTGACAAATGTCGTCACAACTAGTTTTAAGCTTGAAACTCGCTTAATAATCATTCAAATTTTAATCAATTTGTTTCTAACACCAAACTTGAGCGACTAGTCAGGTGTGGGAAAAGTTAAGAAATGGGGTTAGGAGGGTTGTAGGGTGAGAAACAAAGGGAAAATGGAAAAACCTGTTGTTGGATAGCGAATCGGCGCAAATCGACGGTTTTTCGACTCAAACAACTGCTTGACTGTAAAACAGCGAGGTACAGACAATGAAGGGGTCCACCACCTGTTCCTGGGCAAGCTATAGATGCATCACTTACAAAAGGAAGTTACTACAAGACTCTAAAGAGCAGAAAATCAAACAATAAGTCTCCAAATACAGAAAACCAAGCTAAAAAAATAATTAAAAAAACAAAATACAACATATATAAAATAACCCTAACTAGAAATAGAGAAATAGAAAAAAGAAAAAAAAAGGAAAGAAAGTAAGCTGAATTTGATAATGGGATGGTGTCCCGGACGAATTAACCATCTCGCAAATGCAAGAATCTTTTATGTCACGTAATCGCGGCTATTGCGGGATCTTCCTCATCCCACGTCACTCTCCCAGATAAAAGGGGCTTCACTTTCCTATCTAAGAACATCCAAATCTTTATGATACAACGATAAGTCAGTAACATTAAAAATAACATAAATATTGTAGTCTCGGTAGGTCTGTCTTGTATCTATTAATCTTCTTAAAAATCTTAAATGGGTTATCAGCTCTTTGCTTGAGCTTTCCAAATGCACATGTAGGAAATCACTTCTATTTCAGCCTGATCCAAACCATATCGCAAGTCTTCCTTGAAAACCATAGATTTCCTAAACTTTATTAGTTTGTTTCTAAATTGATTTCATGTTTAATAATTTTCTTCATGGTCTACTCATGTGGGGTTTGAATACCCTTGACACTAACCTCGGCATCAAAGCTAAACTCAGCAGTTGCTAGTATCACACTTACTCTAAAGATGTAAAAGAGTTCCACTTGTATATAATATTAAAAGTGTTTGATCTGTAAACTGACTAGCAGAACAATTGTAGGCAATCTCCACTTGAGGAAGAACTAAATTCCACTGTCTGGTGTTTTTTCCCACAAAACATTGAAGAAAACTTCTCAATGTTGAGCTAAATTGAAGCTTTGTACCTAACTTGCCATATAAAGTCCTTCAAAAGTGGTTGAGAAATTTCACATATCTATTTGAAGTAATAATCCTAGGAATACAATGAAAACGAACTCTCCATGAAGTATAAGTCTCGCACCATGTGACATGTTCATCGTCCTATAGCAAGGAACAAAATATGCTAGCTTGAAGAAATGAACTACCACAACCATGACAAAATCCTTATTCAATTGTGTCCAGGATAAGCCCACCACAAAATTCATGCTCACATCAAACCATGATGCCTTTGGAACAAGGAAAGGGTGCATAGACATATATTTTGTCATCGAGTCTTAGCCAATGATATACTCAATAATGTCTGACATATCTCTCCACATCTTGTACCAATCAAGGCCAATAAAAATTCTCTTTGACTAAAAAGAGGGTTTTGTATCTGCCAAAATATCTTGTCATCACCCGATTAAATATGCTTGTAAAATACTTTCCTTGACATAATTCTGAGGGCACAATCTATCTAGAAGAATAGATATCCATCAGATCTATGATAAAACTCATACGCCCTACCCTAACACCGGGTCCAAGAATCCTAAAAATCCTCATCAATTGCATACAAATCCCTCAACATCTCAAAATCAACTACCTTACACTACATGATAGAGATTAATAAGAGGCAATAACTTAGTCCATCGACTACTTTATTTTGATTCACTGTCTTATATTTGAGCACAAAATAGATTGAGGAGAGAATTTTCACTTGGGAAGTGTGTCTACCCTTTAGCTTACTCTGGCTATTCAAGTATCTCAGAACCTCATGGTTGTCGGCGTGAAAAGGGGGAAGTTTGTTTTGTTCAAAAGTTGCCCGTAAGAAGCTGTCGATTGCCGAAATCGAAATCTCGTCGCCCGCTTCGGAAGGGAAGGAGGTTTAATTTACCTAAATATGTATAATTTTAGAAAAATATGAAATCAAACTGATTTCATATTTTTCACAGTTTAAATGAAAGAGCGTTCCACCTCAAATCTTGTATATATCCCGAGGGATAAACACAAGATTTGAGGATGAAGCTTGATCAAATAAACTAAGAAATATATCACATCTATTCGGTCAGCGAAACCGTTTTATTTGCCGACAAGTTCCCATATTTAATACAAAGAATTAAATAGGGTTTATTTTAGGTTGGGTTCGAAAAAGCTTCCTATAAGGGCAAGCCCCTATAGTTAATTATATCTTAAATGACAGAAGTCACTTAAGAAAACTCTCGATAAAAATCAGTGAATATTATCTTCAAAGAGATCAAAAGAATAAGATTTTACAACAAAATCAGACGAAGAGGTGTGAAAGGTGAAATGCTCGAATCTGGAACATTGTTGAAGAATCCAAATGAAGAGAAACTAGGGGAGGCCACGGATCCTGAGGCGAACCTCGGTGGCTTCCCATTTTATCTTATGGTTTGGCTTCAGTTTCAAGAAGAAATTATTAAAGTGTTTCATCCTGTCAATTCCTGTCAATTTTCATCCTGTCAATTTTATTTAATTAGGACTTATATTTGCGTGACACAAACACACAAGTCGTATGGAAGATGTGAGGGTTTGTCGTATCGAACGACAACCTCGGAACCTAAAACGAGTTAGGGCTTAAATCGTACAGCAGAGCTATACGAATGTCTAAAGGAATGGTGGAGGATTTATGTTGCGCTAGGCAAACAACCTCGAAATCCCATGGATTGTTGTTTTAATTTCTAGGAAAAGAACGGTTTAGCTGGGGAAGACATGTTCTGCTGTTGAAGATGGTCGTGCTGCCCACTGCACTAGCTCCAAGCTCCTCGTCATGACGAATTCAAGTTTTCTAGAGTGTCCAGTTATTATGTCAAATCAAACGGCCCTATGGTTGCAGTCCTCTAAATGTTCTATATAAAAGAAGGCATGCTTAAAGCTATATAATATAAAATGTGCAATACAGGACAAACAGTAGAATGCATGTAGAACAGTAGTAAGCAAAAACAGGACTAGTATAACATGCTGTACAGGAAGAACAGTAGCAGGTAGAGACAAGAATAGTATAACATGCTATACAGGAAGAATAGTAGCAGGTAGAAACAGGAAAATGAAGTACTGTAAAATGTAAAGCAAATCTGTACGCCCGTGAGATCCACTGTTTCTTATATATAGCAAGCCTAAATGCATCGCAAAAAGCGAAGTCTGGAAAAAAACATCATCCCAAAAATCCGAAGAAGAGTGTAACGACGACTCATGACAAAAAAATTCGAGAAAATCAACGAGAAAAGACTCAAGTAAAAGAGAAGA